AGAGTGACAGATGAATGACTTCTTCTTCATCATTGTCCCCCTTTCCTCTCGTATTATACCTCCTTTTTTCTGAGTGAGAAAGCTCATTCATGCGACTTTTTAGCCTCACAATCAAACATGGTCTGAACATGATACTACTATATTAAGCCCTGCACTTAGCAACAAGCTTCCGAGATGAGCAACAGGGGGTTTAGGGACCGCAACGGGAAAAAGTTAAGGTTTTTATTTTGTGTCTTATTCAGTCCGTGACTCCAATCAATCTTGTGGTGGCATGGAGGACTAAAGGCTTCTCCCTTCTCACTTGTAGCTGGAGTACTAGAACAGATGGAGGTAGTAGGAGGAAAGATATATACTGCAAGAGAGATTGGCTTGATCCAAATATATGAACTTTTCCAAAACCTTACAGTACATTTGCAACTCTAGGTAAGGATGGAGTATTTGTTTTCCATCTCAATATTCTCTTCCATTTCTAACGAAGTGGTTATGTTGTAACTTAAAGTGGACCTATCATGCTATATTTGAATAATATATATAGTAGGGCCATACCTATATAAATACCAAACAGATCATGCATTTTAGCCATGCCTCATTTCGCTCTATTTGCTATTTTTTAGCCCTGTTTTTGCAAGGGCTGATTCTGTGAGAAGTCTTCTTCGCTGCTTTTGTGTTAGACTACAGCTCCACCAACAGGCCTGGCATATGTACTACAGCGTCTCCAGCGCTTTCGAGCGGCAATGGCCGTGGCTGGCTCCTCCTGATAGGTGGAGAGTTGCCCATATAGGCGGAGCTCCTCGTTCCTGACGTCAGAGATATTTCAAATCTGTATCAGATCCGTTGCAGCCCCGTTTTTAGAGATTTGGGTATGGAGGGAAAGAGAGACGGTTGTGTTTTCTGACACTTGGTGAGTTCCCTGACACACCGGGGACACATATTCATGTATAAAAGATGTACAAAAGTGCATTTTGCATGATAGGTCACCTTTAAGTTATGTAGGTTACTAAGTTAATCCTTGACTTTTTTTTCTCGTTGCATAAGGGACATGAAAGTCCCTAGTTTGACCCTCCTCCCTAAGAACATTAGTTTACCTCAAAATGTAATTTACAATGCACTTTTGTCGTATGGGAACATTCAATTTTATAAGACAGGGTTAGCATGAGTTGTCCTCTGTCCTAGATCTTGGGTGCGTTTGAGGAGAGTTTGGCAGGTTTTCATAAAAAAGGATGAATGGAGACATTATTGTGTCTGTTTCTTGGGGGGAATTGGAGAGTCGCCAAGTAGTTAAACATTGAAGAGAATACTCTGGAGGAACAATCTAGTCCTGATAACCACTCTCTGTCTGTTTGACTCTGTATAGCTGCGCTGGCAGTTGGTCATAAACTGTATTATAAGTCAAAAAGTTATTAGAATTCATCCTGAGGGGAGTTTGCATAACGTGGTAATCCAAACATTAGTTAAGACATTTTACTCCAAAAATGACAACATACTGGTGTGGCTAGAAGAAATGTTAAGGGATCACCAAAGTCCTAATAGGACCATGAATGCAATCCATCCTATAATTGTTGAGATATTTCAGTCAGGTCATCACCAGAGCTGTGCCAATAGCATGACACAGAGGATTACACACATCTTCATTGAGGCCTTGCTCAAGAGGAGCTTTACAATAGTTGTTGAGGGAACAAGTCAGTCTTGGGATTCCAAATGGGGGCAACAGTATGCTTCAAAGCACCCCTTATATTTGGATCAGAAATGAAACTTCAGTTGCAGATCTGCAGACCTGATGGTGTCACATATACTGCCTTTTGGAGCACAACATTATGCTTCCTCACCCTGCATTATGCTCTTTGCATTTCTCCCAGTCTGTCTCTATCTTCCTATCTCCAGGAACTGCGGTTCACGGCAGGAATAATGAAAGCTTGCTAAATCCATGCAGCTTAATAGCAGTGTCAGATTCAGGTCAATATACCCTGTTCAGCTTTCACAAGAAAAGCAGAGTCAGAGGGGAGGGGCAAAGGGAGGTGTAATTATTTTGCTGTGTAGTTTATTGTCCCATGTGCTCCAAGTGTTTCTGAGACATGGTGTTAAGTAATACTTGGTCTGATAAACAGAGGGGTGCATGCTGTCCTGATTCCTGGCACAGGCTCAGGTCAGACAGATGGTCAGGAGGGCTTTATGCAAGCGTATCCCCCCCACACACGGTCATAATGATACAGGCAAAGTGCCACAGGAGTTGACTCTGCAGCATTAGTAACTGCCAATGATGAAACATCATTCGATAGTGAAGGCCGGAAGACACTTAACCCACTTACATCTTTGTAAAACTGAGTCGTTCAGACAATCTCTTAAAAAGTCATCCATCAAAGCTCCACATTTTGAACTACAAACAAACACTTTGTCGGCCCCCAAAGGGCAACAAGACAGGTGAGATTGATCGCCTAAGTGTAGGATTCACGGGAAGGGGGATTTTATTCCGAGGAAAAAACGTGGATATTTTCCGGGAGTCGTTTTTCTGGTACATTTCCCCCTAAAATAACCACTTTAATCCGAGAGAATATTCATATTTTTTCAAATGTTTGTGGGAATATTATACACCATCATTTATTCTTTTTACCTACAGTGGCCTAGTATGCCATCATTGGTGTCTTTCTAACAAAGAGTGACATGGTGATGTATAACATATTAACTGGGGTAAAAGTATGCTTCCAGGTGTGTTTTCTTCAGTTATTCAGGATGTTTTAGTCATTCGCTGAGCTCTGAATCTTCCCGCATGTATTTCAAAATCCCAGTTTCCCTGAGAGATTAGTGAAACACAGGCAGACACTCTCATTGATGCCATGCCCCTGTCTAGCTTTCAGGGTTGGGAGTACGTGGGTTTTCCTGTTAACGCAGCAACCAACATACGACAGTTGTTTGATTCAGTAACAGAGGCCCCTTGGATCAGCTTAACACAGGCCTGCAGGGGCTTCAAATCCCCTCACGGGACTCCAGCAGCAAAGCATGATGTTAATGTCACCGCCTGTTGGAGTGTGTGTGTTCTTTCCATGGTGTGTGAGAGTGGGAGATTCAGCGGAATAAAAGGAGAGAGGAAATGATGGGGAAAGGCAAGGAAAGAAGGACAGAGTGAGAATATTAGGACAGACGGACACATGTTTGTACTATTGAAAGGTCAAGCCAGCTACTTTAACTACGACAAACAGATACAAAACCTCTGCCAACACATGCCGTATAAACTGCTGACATTCATGAAGACGCGGTTTGATCATGGTTACATAATAAAAAAGGATGTTTAAAGAGTCATTGTCCTTGAAAGATTATGTTAGGTGAAGGAAATTAGGCAACAAAGGGATTTCTACTTTGAAGCAAAACATAAAATCTGCAGCAAAGAAAAATCAGAGTACAAAAGAAGTTCTGTAGCTCACTTTGCATAGCTTTGTCCCACAAACCTACTGTTACTGACCATGCCATTTAAACACAACAAATCATTCATAATTCACAAGCGTTATCACTCTGCGTCAAAGTGAACAGCTTATAAATTGCAGCACAAATGTGAATCGATGTTAAAAAGGGTTTATATAACGAAGCACTTAGAGGTACTCTGGTGGAGGAGCATTGTCTGCTGACATTTTGTATGCATTGTTCTAACTTTTGTTTGTCTGTCACTAAGTGTGTTAGTCTTTGTATTTGTGTGACACCGATGTCTGTTTAAGTGTCTGATATATTTGGTTTCACACACACACACCACACACACACACACACACCACACACACACACACACACACACACACAACACACACACACACACCACACACACACACACACACACACACACACACACACACACACACACACACACACACACACACACACACACACACACACACACACACAATGAGCTTCTGTAAAAATGCCAATGTTTTTGTCTGAGAGTCCTAAGTGACCATTCTGTCGCGCATTTTAATCAGCAGCGTCTCATCGAGTGGCGAATGCCTTTAGCTGCGGTCAGGCTCTGTGTCCCTGCCCTCTGCATTCATCTTTGCCCTGCATCCCTTCTTCTATTCTCCCTCCTCTCAGAGCATTTAAGCCATTAGGACATGATGCAACATGCTGCTAATGCAGACACAGGAGGACGTTCATTTTGATTTCCTCAAACTTTCTTTCAACCAGTTTTCCTTCCAAGTATTCCTTTCATTTGTCCATCATGAAGCTTGCTTTGTGTGCGATTGGTGTTCCATTTCTCTCTGATAAGTAACAGTAATCAAGTTCTACTCAAGAAAGTATTTGGATTCAACAACTCGGTCAGAGATTTAAAATATGGTCTTACATTTCAAAGTATATTGGATCTGCAGAAAGTGAAGCTCTCTGCCATTAAATACCTCTATATCAAACATATTTTTAATTGGTTGAAGTTCAGCCATGAGTTCTTGCCTCATTTCCACAACATGGTTTGGCTCAAATTATGTACTTTTGGTAAGAGGTCGTTTTTTCAAACCTTCATCGTACTGAAGAAACTGATCACTTTCCAGTAGGGCTGCTCGATTATGGCAAAAATCATAATTATTTGGGTCAATAATTGATATCACGATTATTAAAAACGATTATCCATTTACTTTGAAAACAACAAATGTGAACAGTATGTTTTTAACAGTTGATTACCCTGAACTTTAAGTATAATTCAACTGAAAAACCAATATTTTTTTTTATTAAAAGTAATAATAATAAAAAAGAAAATCGTTTTATTTCGATTACGTTGTTTTCGTAATCGTTGCAAGCCATAATCGTAATTGCGATTAAAATACGATTAATTGAGCAGCCCTACTTTCCAGGTATAAACATCTATTGCTAATAGAAACCAATTATTATAATCTTCCGTGCTAATTGGGTAGAGCTGTACGATGCAGTGGAAATGCAACATCACTCTGCAGTATTTCCCCAAATGTAGATTTATGACTTTAAGCGTTTGTTAACGTAATTTAATCATACTTATGGTGTCTTGTTTCTGTCAGGTTCCTGTTTCTGGGTGGCAATGCTTGACGGACGTGTGGTTGGGATCGTGGCAGCGCAAGGCCGCGAGGACGACAACTCGGTGGAGCTGCGGCGCATGTCGGTGGACTCTCGTTACCGCGGCAAAGGCATCGCAAAGGTACTGGGTCGGCGCGTTCTGGAGTTCGCCGTGCGCAACAACTACGCCGCTGTGGTCCTCGGCACGACGGCTGTAAAGTTGGCCGCCCACAAGCTGTACGAGTCGCTGGGCTTCCGCCGAATGGACCAGAGCAAGGACTACCGGCTGCCCGGGATGAGGCGCACGCCGCTGGAGAGGCTCTTCTTCCAGATCCGCCACAGCCGCTACCGCTTGCAGCTCCGTGAGGAGTGAGAGGTGACAGAGAGGGAGGGAGAGATGGAGAAGACAGGGACAGAGAGAGCGACGACCCTCCACCCGAGAGCCCAGACAGCATCCTCTCCTCTGACAGCTTTTATTTATTTTGTGTCATTAGAGATAACGCCGAGTACAACTTAACACTATTTCATCTTTAAAGTCACTAACGTTTTCATTCCTATTATGCTTTTTTTTTTGCTGTTGTTTTTGTTTTATACTTTTACATTTTAAATAAGAGTTTGTTTTTTCCCTCTATTTTATTAAGATATTTTTTTGTACCTTTGCCCCTCCCCTTTACACTGTGGGAGAAAAGGCTTTTTATAGAAGACGTCTTAACTGGCACCCTCCCCTGCCCCTTTGGTTTAAAGATGATGTGATCAATGCTCCCCTTCATTAGACTCCACGATGCCCTCTCTACCCCTCCCCTATACCTCAAGCCTTCCCTCCCCTCCCACACTCTCTCTACAGCAAAATCCAACAGATGGGTTTGGCACAGGAAAGTGCAGTGAGACATTTGTGTCATTGGGGGTGGACAAAGCAATGGATTTGGTTGGGAGGGGCAGATATGGCTTCCTCGAGAGCAAAACAAACACACCAAAAAGTGTTTGGGGAGCTTGTGGATCGCACTCTTTCCAAAAGCTCTTCAATGTTACATTGTGTGCTCTGTGGATATAAAGCAAGTCATTTGGCTTGCAGCCAGCCGCTCAAGACGCCATATTGAAGCACAGCAAGTGTGTTACTGACCCCCACAGTGAGAGAGAAGGATGGCAGGATGGTTACCGGAACATGCACCCAATGCAGTGCATCTTCCCCACACACTCCTCCTCTTCCTCCTCTTCCTCACTGATTTAATTAGATCCCTCCCTTCTTTGTTTTATTAATCCCTGCGTTTCTCACTGGAGCTGTGGAGAGGCTCTCTGATTGGTCGAGGTGAAAGGAGGTGTGGAACAGATCCCATGATACAGTATATCTGCAAGTCAGAGCTTGTGTGTGTGTGTGTGTGTGTGTGTGTGTAAGTGTGAGAGAGTGTGTGTGTGTGTGTGTGTGTGTAAGTTTGAGAGTGTGTGACTGTGTGTGTGTTTGATGAGGCTATGGTCAGACATAACGCCATGCCTAAACAGCGTATGATGAATTAACCTATTTTTTTCGCGTGAACAGACACGCACCTTTCTTGCTATGAGTCAAGTATTATCAAAGTAACTACTTTCTATGTGTATTTATAAACTGTTCACTTATAGAAGAAAGATACATTCTAACATTTTGAATATGTTTAGTATCTGACTAATCATTAGTAATTTTCTAACACATATTACCACATTGTAATATGCTAATTTTACCGTCAAAACTACGACAATTACAGAGTAGCTGCGCTCCACAGATTAATCCAGGTTTTTAGGGAACAACTTGGGTAACACATGACTACTAGCAATACTTGCAAACCTGTAACTGAGCACAAACAGCAAATAACTATCTAATGTATTAGCATCCCCACTTCCTCATGTATTTATATTGTGGAGACTCATGTAGCGAACAAAACGTCCCCCATAACACCTCTCTCCATCTCCATCTCCTTCCTCTAAGCATAACAACCAGCAGTAGATTCAGCCATCCACGACTCTGAGCCTAAGTTACGTCGTCATACCATTTGTAAAAAGTAAAACATAAATCAAAAATGGAAAAAAAAATCAAATAAGTTGAAAAAAGGAAAGAAAAAAATTGAATACAAATGTAATCGTCATGAATCCCTCCTCGCCTTGCCACCCCTCCCCCCTAAACTCCCCGACCTCCCATATATGGATCTGTCTGCAACCCTGGGCTAGACCCTAAACCTTCCATCTGAACCCTCCTCTGACCTTTGACCCTAGCTTGCCCCAGGCCACGCCCATTTCCTGCCCATCTCTGCATGCGCCACAGAGCCTTGCTGCACTGCTTTTATTACTCCATTTGAAGCTTGTGGGACAAAACCTTAGACCCCGCCCCTTACTCTGATGTCATCCAGGAAGTGTGACGATCAGGCTGGTGCCAGGTTGCAATGCTTGTACTGTATGGGTGGGATGCAGAGAGATCAAATGTGTGTGTGTGTGTGTGTTCAGATACATTCACCGACTGCAGCACTGTCTGGATGACATCACGCCTGCCAGCCAACCAACTGTAGAATGCAAAGCAATGCAAGTGTGGCATGCCTCTGTACCTGGTGTGTGTGTACGGTGCCTGCCCTGGAAGAGTGTAGAGAAACATTTATAAACAATATATAAATATAAATATATATATAAAAAGAAAATAAGCTTCTTTTTTTAAATGAACATATAAAGAAATGTGTTTTTCTTTGTCTGTTTGAAAAAAAGAACAATTGTATCATTTGCATGAAATGTGTATTTGAATGCAAAAATAACTTTTAGAGGAGAAACTCTTAGCACATGGCATACAGTGGAACCATAGACTTGTCATTTTGTTTTTGTTTTAGAGTATTTTATTTCATTTGGGTCTATGGGAGGGAAATTAATACTAGCCATGAGCCAGTGCACATAAATCTTTAGGAGCGTAACGTCTAACTTAGAATGCTGCTCGATATTCAGATGTAATCGTCACTGGCTGGAGGACTAAAAAGTGAGTTTCCTATCTTTATCTCAGTGGGAAAGAGGGGCATAAGACTGAAGAGCAACCAGCTTGTGGTAAGGGTCGTCAATGGGCATTACAGATGATGAAAGAAGAGTGTTTCCATGCAGTACATAGTGCAACATCCTTTCATCCACTAAGTCCTTTGCCAAGTTTATCATATGCAGATGAAAGAAACGCGCAGCAGGATACCGTTAGAACTTGCAGTGAGGGTGACATGTTGAGACTTTGCTACAGGTGGAAGCTGTTCCCTGTCAAACGTGTCCTCAAACGCCACATTGAACCTCGAACTGTGTCAGCAAAATGAATACCTTATGTCGCATCTAACTTCGGAAGAAACTTTCCATAATATTGTTTTTCTACAAAAAGGCATTATTCCACAAACGGACAGAAGTTGACCTTGAAAATGATATATGTCCCATGGCACTAAGTCTTATTCCCCTTCGTTTCCTTTATTTAAAGCCATGTGTTGAAGCCACTTCTAGAGGAGTTTTAGCGACTGACAAGCTTTCTCTTTCAACCTTAGATTTTTCTAGGAAATTCTACAAAGTTAAACACAAGGCACAAACGGTACTGTTTTCAAAAATACGTCAGATCTTTTTAACACGTGGAGGAGGCCTCACACCACCTTGATACATCTGCTTTGAACTTGGTTGTTGCTGGAGAGTTGAAAGAGGATATTTTGCGACAAAATAGGAGCAACAGCTAGCACTGGCCTTCAGAAGTACTTACAAAAGTCTTAATGAGGCAGGAAGCAGAGGCACACTTGACTTTTTCCAGCTTGTTTTAAGATAATTAGAATACAGAGCAGACATTGAACCATTTGAGCAAAGCTGATCTCTCAGTTCTGAAATATAGGCGCCAGTGGGGCTGGGGATTTGGATTGCAGATATATTTTATGTTAGTTATCGCTGTGTTAAGGTTGTTACTGTACGACCTGGGTTAGGTATAAAGGATGAGAGGGAAAATAATCTGTGGTTTCGATCATGTGGAAGAATGTGAAGTCTGTCAATTCTGAGCCATTTCTGCTGCTGCCAATCTCAGTTCTTTGCCTGATGACATTTAAAATACTCCATGTATCTTTTGGGGAAGTGGTTATCCATACTGGTACATATACTGAACAAAAGTAATATCATTTAAATGGCCTATGCCAAGGCTTTATGCACTGGAATCAAAACGCTGGAGTTCAAATACCTTGTTGACTGCATGGCTCGTAAAGGGGAGATTTTAATTGTAAAGATTAAGTGCACTGACTATAATGCATTTATTTCTAGCAATGTCTGTTTTCTACTTCATGTGAAGTCTCACCTCCCATTTAAAACCGCTACTTAACATTAGCATTTAGTAATTAAACTGTATGCAACTTCTACCGGAGTATATGTTTAGTTACAAACCATTCCTCTGCTGATGTACAATCCAAAAAACAATCTCACATTTGTTTGTATTTTGGTTTTCTCTGTTTGTTTGAAAGCAAGTGTCCTATGGAGGTTTGAGAAAGTATGCTGGAGTAGGCTTTTTAGTTTCGAGTGCTTTAGAATCCAAAAAACGATGCTCTGTTTCTGACCGCACCAGCTGAAGGCTACTGAAGCCAAAGCTTAACTTTAGCAGTTTTAAAAACCCTGGTCATTCAAATCTGGCCGTAAAAATATCAGTATGCCACGATCAACATCCCGTTTACCAACAGTTGAAGGAGCATAGTCAAAAATGCACAAATGTACAGATCCTGTGGGTGTGTTGTGTTACTCAGATGATGTGTGTCAATGGGGGGGGGGGGGGGGGGGGGGGGGGGGGGTGACACTCACAGACTTGATTGTAAACTGCCAACATTTAAGAAAGATTTGTATGTTTTTCCTGGTTGCTTTTTTACATTTTGAATGACGGGTGTGGGAAGAAGGTGAAAAGCAGCTTTCATTAAGTGACTAAACCACTGCATTAGATGTTAGACATGTTTGTGTGACTGTAAATAGCCTATTGTTGTTAATGTATTATTTCCTGCAACCTGTCATCTTTGCTGGTTTTTCAACCGATCGCGATGGAGTTCATTTTTTTGTCTCGGAAGATGGCAGTCGTCTGGAATGTTCCACCTAACGAGGAGGGCGAGGGAGGAATGTGCCACATTGGCAGTCAAACGGGGGGTTGTGTGTGTGTGGGGGGGGGTGGCAGCTCCACAATATGGACTCCCTCTCTCTCTCTCTACCTCTGGTGAGGACTCTGCTCCACTGTGGCAAATACAGAAGGACTCACTCTGGACTGAGGCCACAGGTGCCAAGAACACATAAGCACTTGTAGCACAACTGTGTCTTGTTTTGCTATTACAGTACAGATAGTTTTGATTTTTTTCTACATTTCCTATGATGAATATGGATAAAGTTTCTCTTTCTCCTGGATTGTATGTATCCTAAGCATATGTACAAGACATGACACCATAATGTTTAATTCATACCACGACCCACGGCTTATTTTTGAGGTGGATATTTGCCAAAGGCGACAGTAATTGCTGCATTTGTATTTATTTTGTGGCTTTTTTTTTCAACACCATCCTGTATTACTTGGTATTATTTTGGGGGAAATCCTGCCCACGTGCCATCTAATCAAGCAATAAAACAGAAAACCACAGAGTAATGGCATACTATCAAGAATGATTTTGTTAAAAACATGAAATGCTGCATTGCTGTTATATCCCTACACTGTACCAATTAGTGGCATCACCACGCATCACATTGAAGCCTGAATGGGGCGGTTTGAGTGTCAAATGTTCCTGTTTTTTGTATTTTTCTTTACAAAGACGTGTCAAAGATTTGTTTTTTTTAAACTTGAGGTTGCAGTACACGGGTGTACCTTTGCATATTTGTAAAGATGTCAATAGGAAAATGACCAGAGGGGGGACAATGGATGCTAAAAGGTGAGCAGTTCAAGCAGGGAAAAGATGGCGTGGCCACACTCTGAAAGAGCAATCTGCTGCGGGTCTCTTAACTGAGCTTTTCATTTAACCACAAAGACTTCCGGTTAACATGCACCACTCAGTCAGTACAAACTGAAAATAAATCAATCAAAACTCTCAAGTCTGTAAAGTATATTTTACTGTAAATAGCATCCGGTGGTCCTTTTTACTCCTTTTGTAACAGAAACTGTGGATTTAAAATATTGAAAGTATATATTTTAAAAGATATCTACAGCACTTATAAAGAGATTCTCAAGTAGTGCAGGTGTCTTCATCTGTATTAACAATCCCGTACTCATTGTTAGCGTCTGCTCTCGCCTGCCTGCTTGAACTCTCACTTGAAGCGTTGCTCTGTTAGCTTTCAGCGCCATGGCCGTGAATATGAGCAGCTCTGGACTGAGCTATTAGTCAGAGCGAGCTGCTTTAATGCAAAGGGCTCTCTCTGCCCTGGAGCCGTGTCATGGCTGTTGTCTGTTGCCAGGAAACGGACCCGCATAAAGCACAGCAGGAGGTTGATATGCAGCCGCACTGATTGGGGGGAGGGCAGGTCAACCAGTCGTCCATGATAGAGGGATTGATAGATAGATGGGGTTAGGAAATGGTGGGGGTTAAATTGTGAAACTTTGATACCCTGGAGCTAGGAGAAAAGTGGCTACCGTGAAGAATTTGAGGCCCTTAGGTTTGTAATATATAGCGGTAAGAAAATAGTGCCAGGGGCCCAATGGGTTATATGAAAGAGACAATTTAAAGGCGAGACAATATTCTCGTGTACAGTAATCAGGTCAAGCAGGGGGAAGATTTAGAGGTTACCGTGGAGACAGCTGGTTTTACCGGTCCGCCCGACCTCAGTGAGGCTGCGTCTGATTTGAATCGGGGGTCTGTTAGCTTTCCGGTCCCCTTTCTGCCATTCCTTTGAAAGAATGCTGTATTACCACACCGGGATTATTATTATTATTATTGTTGTGATTATGAATTAACCCTTTCTTTTATACTGAGAAACACCTGGAACACTGTATAGATGGGATTTCCTGCATTATGACGACGATTGAAACATGGATGTACATATATTGTATCAATTAAAAATGATGATTCATTAAGCTTTTATATGTTGCAACGGTTAACTGATTCTTTCTTCCTAAGGTGGCACAGGAGGGCGATGATTATGTATAGGTTTTATAAGGTAATCATTGGATTTAAAGTGATTTAAGTGCTGCAGGGTCTACTTACACATCTCACCGTCGCCATGGCAGCTAGGGGGAAGCTCATGCTGTTGCCCTTGACAACTGGAGTCTTCAGAGGGACCCTTGGGCCTCGGCTGCAGGTCATCACTCAGCCAGATGATCATAATCATAAGCTCATTGCATCCTTTAAAAGATACAAGAATACAGTAACATTAGGAAAGAGAATGGAGGTCATAACACAATGGGTTTCAGTCATGCATTTATTTTGTATTATTAGATAGAGGATGACAGGCATCATGTTTGAAGTATTCTTCTTATTGCAATACCCTTTTAAACACTGAAATAAACACAAATGTAAGTACAGATGGTGAAAAAGTGATGTGCTAGTACCCTTTATAGACAATAGTAGTTATTTTACTGAATGAAAATAGCATTTAAGATTGTAAAGTAAAAAGAGTGAAAGATGAACTCTCTCTTTGGGATGTTAGCCTTTGTAGGACATGTACATGCACTCAAACCCATACTATAACACACTATAGGAAAGGGAACACCCCAAGGAGAATAATAGGGCCCCTTTAACCTACACTGAAAAGAAAGTGGAGTGACATTTACTTTAGGTAACAATATTCCACGCAGAAATTCTAAGTAAATGTAACAACCTGTATTTCAAGTAGCATCTACTTACAGTTAGGAAGTGTTTGTTACGAACGGGAATCAAGTAAGCTTTACTGTCAAATTTCAGTTTTTGTAAGTACATTTGACTTTCTATTGCATAGTAGATTTTACTTAAAGGTCCCATGGCATGGCCATTTCTACTGATCATAATTCCATTGTTGAGGTCTACTAGAATAGATTCATATTGTTCAATGTTCCAAACTCACATTGGTTTCTCATACAGCATCTCTGTATAGTATGTGTATTCACTCTCTGTCCTAAACGGCTTGTTGGAGCTCCTGCCCCCCCCCCCCCCCTGTGAGCCCAATGTGATTGGTCGGGACGTTGGAAGGCTCGCTGCTCAGTGAGCTGGCTTACTGGTGTGGTTTCCGGGTCGGCGAGACAGCGCGAAACTCATCCTGAGCACACACAAACACTCACAGCCGAAGTAAAAACAATAAGTGTGGCTTGATATTGAGTAAGAACAAGGTTTATAAACGCTGTGAGAATGGAGAGCATTTCTCCGCCATCCCAACTCGTCTATTACCAACCAGGGGACTCCCTGTTAGTTGAACATTTACGCTAAAGGTCCCCACCCCTCCTGGTGTGTGAGGAGCTCCGCGGATTGGTCCATTTTGGTTCCGGGAACCGCATGACGTCACACTTTGTTGATTTATAATAATAAGCTTTATTTGAAAAACACTTTCCAGCTGAAAGTGCTTTAACACGGCACATATGTTATATTTTGTTTTAATAATCGCATAGTATATTCAAAAAAGTAGAGGAGTAAAAACTGCAACAGTTCTAATAGCATCTGAATTGTAGGAAAAAGTCAAAAATTATTCGTTTTTGTTTAAACTCCATATTTTCTTTGAGCACCACTTCCTCTAGAATTTGCACAAACAAGTCTCACTCAAGCCATCTAAAAGGGAGGGAGGGGGGGTGCACCCTTAAACCACAGAACAATGAGAGAGGGGCAGATTTCCATAACACTGTCTGCTTCTCTGGCTCTGTGCTGCTCATACTGACCCGGTGAGAAAAAGCTTCCTTCACATCGGCACACGGACAACACATTCCTGTCAGTGGCTTCCACAAAGTGCGGCTGAAAAATAAAAAGACCTGGAAGACTGTGAATACATGAGAACTGTGGGCGGATCCTTTGAAAACGTTGACGACTCTTTAAATTAATGAGGTGATCATTTAAATACGTAATAGGGTTGAGGCTTTGTTACACATGTCACAAGGTGCCTGAAACGGCCGTGACACATTTTGTAGTCCTAAAGGGTCTTAATTGGACGGATAAAAGGGGCCGAAAGAGCCCTCTTAGGGGGCTGCCAAAGACAAGGAAACTCGGTCAGTGTGCCTGGAAGCTGGTGACATGAGAGCATTTGTGGAATGTGTGTATCTGTGTGTGAGCTAAAAATGAGAAATGAGATCATCTGTTTTGAATCAGCTGAATGCTACTTAACACAAAAAAAAAAAAGCTTATTATTGGAGAAAGCGACCCTGATCTCAATGGGATTAAAACACTAGAATATCCGCTACATGACTTTCTATAAATTCATTTTTCACTCTTGGAATTCCTCTCTTTAATCATTTATTGCCAATAAAGGTTGAAAGGATTATTGAAAGGGGGATATTAATTAAACTCATTTGTAATTCAATTCAAGCTTATTATGCTGCTTTAATTGTGCTACGACTCGGCTATTAAGAGCATCAGCTCTAAAAATGCTTTCGAATGTAACATGCAAATGATTGTGAGGAATTCATTGAGCATTAGCGCCGAGTGTTTGTAAAAGAAACCTGCAGAAGGAAACTGGAGGAGAAAAATCACTGGGTTCCTGACTTCCTGTCAGAGTGAAGCAATGTTTATTCAACACTTTGAAAGCATTACAATAATAAATACAAGGACGTTTTCACAGTACAGAACACAGTACACTATTAAACATTATATTAATAACCATTTTATGAACTAATAAATATCAGGCACTCTCAAACGTAGGGATTCACCTTGGCAACAAGCGTCGGGCTGAATAAGAGAGTGTGAAAACAGGACGGAGGATGGAGGAGAGCAATCCAGTCTCCTACCGTTGCCCCCGGATACGGATAGAGTGAAAGCAAGAACTGGGAGCAGGAAAGAGCTGCAGCTGCCTGGTTTCCATAGCGATGTGGACGCAGGACAAGCAAAAAAGATTAGGAGAGAGACATGGAGCAAGAAACTGGGGAGGCAAATGTAACAAGAGGGGAAGGGAGCAGTGCAAGAAAAGTATATCTTTTTTGTTTAAGGGGGAGTGGTGATAGAAGCATTAAGGTAGTAAAAAAGGGGTTGGGGGTCTCAAAGAGAAGCAGAGGGAGACACGATGAGCTCAGACATGGATCCCCACGACTTTCCGCTGGAGACTGCCACCTTCAGGGGGACCTGGAAAACAAACACACACATACTCTAAATATAAGACATGGGAAAGGTGCCAGTGTGTCGATGTACACGTGCAGATGTCGGTCACAGTGACCTACATTGATTTAGACTCACCTAATTATTCTTATGGAAGATCAGCCAATAATACAGAGGCACATTTTTAAATCACTAATGCAAATGAAAGCTATCATTTATAGAAAATCCTATAGAAATTGATTTAAATACAGATGAATTACCCTGTGGCTTCTTGCGTAGTCCACTGATGTTTTATTGTAAAAGCAGTCAGGATTTTTGATGTAACCGGTAGGTTGAAGGACGAGAATATTCCATGTTGTACTTAAGAAAGTTGTGTTTCAATCACCATACTTAAACATTGTCCTCGAAATAGGTACGTGGCCTAATTGCAGTCTTTTTTTGATGTGTTACACAGCAAATAATTCAAAAGACACAATAAATGACACTATAATAACAGCGAATGATTGTAATGTCATGTTCCACTGTCTCACCTTAAGATGGACTCCTAGATGGTCGATGTGCTGCAGGGACTCCATGGTGCTCTTCACCAGACCTGCACACAAAACAACACGTAGTAGACACATGTATAAATGACTTCAACAGTGACCATAGCTGTTGCATTGTGGGTAATGTAGGCACAGAAAGAAGATTTCATTAAAAAAATGCTACATCAATTGACTTTTAATAAATAAACTAACTAATAAAGGACTGGATTACCTAAAGCCAGTTGAGTAGCACTTGAAATGTTTGGCTCTATGAAACCTGATGTACTTATATGATTCTGTTTTCTTCAAGGTTGTGTCTTCCTGGTCGAATGTACTTATTGTAAGTCGCTTTGGACAAAAGCGTCAGCTAAATGCAATGTAATGTAATGTAATTAATAACGTGGTGGATCTCTCTTTAAACTGTTACATTGACGTATGTATCTACCAAAACAAGCTTGTATGTCCAAAACAAACCTATATTCCTCACTGTACACCAATTTGGCTTCATATGTGCAGTATATAACTGTAGGATACATTTGAAATGTTTGATATAATAAGTTATTTATTCACCTGCAAACTGTTCCACCTGGGATTCCTCCACTTCGTACAGAAGCTCATCGTGGAGCTGTGCTACCAGCCTACAGGTACAGACACAAAGTAAATCAACACAACAATTACTTCAACTATTACTAATAATGAGGCCTCTTCATCAACATACCACCGTGAGGGCTTCAAGTAAGTCCCCTAATTTGCATCCAGCCCATTTAATTCTTGGCTCCAAGTGTGTTTACTCTGGCTCAGTGTTTGGCGTGTAACAGCAGTCACTTGAGCAAACGCTACAAATTAAATTGGCTGGTAAAATAGTGGATGTTGTTTATGTGTTTTGGCGTGAGAGACCCAGTCAGTTGTTCTTCATTAAAATAGGACTTAGCGTATCCAGAACAGTGACTACAGTGTGAATAGCCAGTGTTTACTTTGTTGCCGTAGTCAAGGCGACATGCTAGATATGACATGTTGGTGATGACTCGTAATGCAAGCGTCTTCAGCCAGCTTGTTAAGGTGTTAGTACCTGGCGGAGAGCGAGCTGGAGGAGGACACCAGGTTGAAGATTCGGATCATGGCCATCTTACAGAGATCAGCAGCAGAACCTGCAAAAAAACACATACAAAATATCAAACTCTTATCTGTGGTGAAGGGTTAGTCAGGCAGGTAAACATAATAGTGTTCAAACAAGCTGACACCTGTCAATCATCCTACCTTGGACCACAAAGTTGACAGCCTGCCTCTCAGCCTGCATCCGGATACCCCAATCCGGGGAGTTTATGTTAGCGAGGGTCCGCCGACGACCCATGATGGAGAGAACGTAACCTAATCAAAGACAAACATTTAAAGTGTATTATTAATTCATAGTCATTATTCTGAGCACATTTAATCCAATTTAAATCAAGATTGAGAAACTCCATCCTTGAGGGCTGCTCCTCTCACACAGCGAAGCTTCAATTTGTGTTTATTATATTATTCACATTCAATGTAGCAGCTGCTTCTCCCTCATGATTCACTGTGAGGAGAAATCACCACTTAACTCTGAAGTAGTGAGCATACTACTGTAAATACAAATGAGAACATATCACGTAGGTCTGCTCGCCAACACATTTTAGAGATATTTTTCAAATCCACATGTTTCGTACCAGGTTCACCAGAATTCATCCCACTACTTGTTCTTAATTCATGGATGTGTACTTACTTGATTTTCTTTTATCGATGTGTGCTTGCCTCTTTATTTATGATGCGAGTCTCTTGATTTTATTTGTGCTTATATCTACACCGCTTTGGGACCAATAAATGATGACGATCGAATTAAAGAATAATAAGTGACCTCCAGTTACCTCCTCCACCCAATTGTCCCCCCGTGTTCGAGGGCTGTGTTGCGTATTAAACGAGAAACAAAGAGTTATTCGGTAAATATTCTTGGCTCCAAGTGTGTTTACTAAAAACCTGCTCGGGTAGATGCAAAGAGATTTAAAGACAACTGTTTCATGAAAAGTTATTTGTTGATGCAGCATTATAGGTGGTAACCACACACACACACACACACGCGCACACACACCCCGTACAGTCCCACAAACACACTTTGGAAAGCAACATTCCAAACATGCACACATTATCAAATGAAGGTATGCAAAACACACACACACACACACACTTACAAACACAGTGGACCAGTACATTCCACCAGCTGGACAATGGAGCGGGCTTTAGGACTAAATCCCTCTAGTATCCCTTACTATGAGGAACGCCACAAAGCCTGAATGAGTCTCTTCCCAGAACACACACACATTCATGCTCACAGACATAGATGCATAGGAAATGAACGCACAACAGTTGTAGAAACAAACACAAACCCCCCCCCCCCCCCCCCTCACTGCGACCCATGACACGTGCGTGTGACCTTTTGTCCCCAGGAATGTGACCCCTGTCCTGGGGCCCGATGACAAGTGCACTTTGTGTCGTGTTGATCCTGCGGACAGGTATGTGACTCACAGAGGAATGTATGTGCTTTTCAAACAGCAGTGGCTTTTTCTGTCAGTGACACTGTGGTGTAAAGGCTCAGTGCTTTTCAAGTTCAAACTGTGTGTGTAGAGATAGTGGAATATAAGCTGTAGAAACTTGGATGGAGAGACAATCAATTGGGACATTAAAAAACGTTTGTGGTGTTTTCCTAATTGTTTCAATCATCAAAACTAATCAAATAAAAACCTTTTTTAAACCAATCAGGGTTAGGCAATATCTAAATCAAAATGGGATGACAGTTTGGCTTCCAGTTTCCAGATGTTTATTTAAATATGTTTAAACACTTGATATTTGTACAGGTGGTTGACAATACACTGACATATCATCACCTTTTTAGGTTGAAATGGTGAATTTGTTGGTAAAAATGTGCTTATTTATTTATTTGCTCTGCTTTGGTCTCCACCAACTCCTGGTTCTTAATTTCTAAATTCTATTATATAAAAGTAATTCTTAATTTGTATTCATCTTGAGATTTGAGAAACGTATTCATTGGTTCTGTCATGTGGACTTTTATATGTTTTCCTAATGAACTGGAAAAAACCGCTCTCTTCTCTTCAGCGGTGTGTCTGGTGTTTGAGCTGTCCGCATAGATCAGTGCTGCTGCCATCTGTAGAGACCATACTACTCCATGACAGAACTACAGCAGAACTCAGCCTGCCAGCCCCGCCATGTGCCGTTGACATATCTACATGTTCATGAACAACTTGATGTGTGAGTGAGTTCACGTCTGTGCATTGCGTATCTACGCAGATCTAGGCTTCCCTGTCTGCTGTGGCCTTCAGAAGACTTTTTCATCGGTGTGATTCTCCGTTGTTTAAAAAAAAAAGAATACAAAAATCCTTCTTGCCTTGTCTTTTTTTACGTCAGGCATTCTTTACAAGTGAAGGTACTGCATTCATCCCAAGAGCTTTGATGAAATGTGCATGACGTTAAGAACTAGGGGACAGGCTTAGCCAGAGGCTTCATCTCATTGCAATATCAAGGACAGCGAGTCTTGGCGATTCATAAAAGCAATGTCAGCTATGGCTATGAAGTTATTTATTGTAGTTTATATAATCAAAAACGGTCCTGTTTTAGTCCTTATCTTTGTCCCATTTCCTTTTTGTGTAACATTTCTGTACTTCTTCTTGGGTTCCATCGTCTTATCTTCGCCCCCTGCTGTTACACCCACACTGATCCTGACCTCACCAGCTCTCGTTGTCCTTTCAGATACTTTTCCAGCAAATGACCGTAGCTGAGGCGGCACTGCCCGACCCGTCTCTGCTCAGTATGAAGAAAAGAGTTGCTGAATCAGATCTGTAATCTCAGAGAGGTGCAGAGCCCAGGCGAGTACTAATCCCTGCTCCCTGAGTCACTGCCAGGGGAAAGTGTATGCTTCCTCCCAGCCAACACAGGTTAAAGGGGACTACTTTATCGATCAGCTACTGTACATTTCTGCTGCGGCATGAGGGGGGGGGTGAAAAGGAAGAGATATATGAAAACAGTAATTGGATGAGGGAGAGTAAAGGCAGACAGACAGACTGAAGGACAGCGAGCAAAGAGTGTGGGACAAGCCAGGCAGATCAATCCAGTAGCCGTCTCCAAACGGGAGGATCACCATGGTGATGAGCTAAATTAGAGCCAACTGTGTTGCGCAACAAGGCTTCCATGGTGATCTGTACGCAGCATTTTGGGAGAATAAGTCCATTAAGCAGGAGCAGACATAGGACAAAGAGTTGGTTGTCTCACCGGTGATAGGTTGCCGTGGGTGATAAAGTACATGTCTGTTTTTGGTGACGCTCCCGACTGAAAAACATCTAAATCTAGACGTTAACTACAAAACAAAGTTATATGGCAACACTTAGTGATGTCAATCGATTAAGAACAACCTGCGTTAAGACAATAATAATCTGCGGTGAATCATCATTTATCACAAGTTTGAAATACTAGTATTTACTTTCATTATGTGGGGGATATAAACTTGCCATTTCACTGGAATGAACAGTTAACGTCTGCACTTGAATTGCAGGAGGAGGTTGGGGTGAAACTTGGTAATGCGATTAATTTGCGTAAATTTTTTCAAGAAGAATGGTGATTGTAATGGGTTGAGGTTGAAAGCCTTACTTATTATTCAAGATGAAATGACCTATTTTACGATGCAGAAACAGACTGAGAAGACATTGGGCTCGTGTACCGAGCGCAATGAGGGTTAGAGTGCAGACTTTACACTATTTTCTGTGAGCATCTTTGAGTCTCAGGTGTGCTGTGTTGGCAGTTCAGTCAGAATATAAATAGAGTGTCCCGTCTGAACCGTCAGCCTTGCCCCCCTAGCCCCCCCCATCCACCTCAAGTATTGACCCATGGCAGTTTGTCTCTTTCCTGCCAATGCAAGCACATCTTCCTCGCGCAAACTAATCCACAGAGAGTGTGTGCGTGTGTGTGTGTGTGCGTGTGTGTGTGTACCCATAAAAACATCAAACTACATGTGCAGGCCCTTACAGTGACACACGCACATTGTTTGTTATAATCCTGGTGTCATTCGCTTTACATTAACCCCTAATTTCTCTCGTGTTAACTGTGATTCTGACTATAATCTTTAATCCTATGAATACACAATTTACTATTGAACTCTGGGAAGCAGTTCTCATACAGTATGCAACACATTTTCGCCAATATCTTTCCTATTAGGAGCATTAACACTCAATATAACCTTTTTAAGAGTTAATTATTCTTATGGGAGACACAATGGGAATGTGATTGGACACAGACCTCGTTTGTGGCACAGCTGGATGGTCCTCTGGATGAAGGTCTGCACTTCTCTGTAGCTCTGCAGGAAACTGTCTTGGAATCGGCTGGCCTTCTCAGCGCTCACCCCGAGGATCCCAGACAGACGCTCACGACCTGCAAGGATCAACATATATATATAAATATAAGTTAGTCAAGCTTATATTCACCTATGCGCAATAGCATCAGGTATTAAGACATTAATACCATACAGATAACATGAACAGTATGATTACGTTTTATTTTTAGCCTTAATTATTCATTTTGTACTTGATTATATCTTTTTATACATTCTTCACAAAGTGTTATTGTCACTAGGGTTACTACGGCTTGCTAAACAGTTGGCAATATCTGCTGTACGCTAAAGGCTAAAGGAATAGTGTTCATTTGGGATTCATTTGACAAAACCTTTGGAAGTGACTGCACCTGGCATAAAACCCCTCAAAACACAGCCATGTGTTGTCCTTATTCTTTATTGTTAACACTGGTTTAACACTTAAACATGAGATATTAGATGTTACTAAGTGAGCCTAAGAGGGGCTGGTAGGCCAATTTATTCCCCCCTATTTTGATTCTTTGTAATAAGATAAGCTAGCTTGTTGCTCATGGTAGCTTTTTATTTTCTGTACAGACATGAGTGGGCATGTATCTTCACATCTAACTCTAAGGCAGTCCAGTATGACTTCCCAAAATGTCATTCCTTTGATATCATTACTCTGTGATGACCTGCATTGCGAGTGACCTTACTGCTGGAGACCTTGAGCTGACAACAAAGTCAGTCAAGTCAATGAATGGAGCAAACTTCAACTTTATCATGGCTGATTGGAAGAGTGTAAAACGAGATCAGACGACTGACTCGATCAAGGGGTGAAAGAAATAGAGAAAAAAAGTAGATCCAAAAGAAGGGTAGTAAAGGACAAGATAAAAGAGGGTGGGGGAAAGGATCAGGGGAAGACTGCAAGAGACGTATGTGTGTGTGTGTGTGTGTGTGTGTGTGTGTGTGTGTGTGTGTGTGTGTGTGTGTGTGTGTGTGTGTGTGTGTGTGTGTGTGCGTGTGTGTGTGTGTGTGTGTGTGTGTGTGTTCTTTCCCCGGTAGTGTTGAAGCGTACTGACTGTAACAGGAATAATGGCCTCAAAGGTGAAGCACAGTTTGATGGTGCGAGAGCTAATGGCTGTGACAGTTAGTGTGTGTGTGTGTGTGTGTTAATGTGTGAAGGTCAGCAGAAGGACAGTAGTTTTACTTTAACATAGAACAAAAATGACAAGTTTAAAGAGTTCTCGAGACTATGGACTTTATTAGACTAATTGGATATTTTTCTCACGTAGTCGCAGCTTACGTTTTGTACAAATGTCACAGTTTCACATTTTATAATGGGTGTGTATGGGAGAGCTCGTTAAGACTTAGAATGGGTGACATCACGGCTAGAGGGGAGAGGAGCTGTAAAATCTGAAGAGCTTTTTTTCCAACTATTGCTCGGCTGGCCACAATTTTCACTCTTCATACATAATTTGGTGATCCAAATGTAGGGACATTTGTCACGGTCGCACCGATATGCTCATTTGATCAAACGGACACATATAGCAAACACGAGTCATCTGGTATCCGAAATACTCTGGGGAGGATATTTAGCTGATTGGAGTTGAAGCAATAGTGCAGCACAATATTGTCAATATATTCTCTGGCAGGCTGTCTGTCGTTCACTGGCAGGGCGTTGCCGTGGAAACACTTTGATCTTTGAACACACCTGTCGGTCGTTAATTAAATAGATGTTCAGAAACGATGCAGGAATGTGGTACAAGAATCCAAAAATGTAATAGATAAACAGTTAAAATAGTCAGCTAAATGTGAGCTAAAATTAATGGATATTCTTTGTTGTACCTTAACAACACAACTAATGCTATTAATACTTACTCAGCGGGGGTAATGTTAGCATCGGGAGTCAACATTTCTCGGAATGTCAAATACATTTGACCCATATATCAACCTAACATCCGTCAAAACTGATGATAGGTTGACGTTTAATTCTTATTTCTAGATGTTGATTTAGTGAATTAGTTTTGAGCAATGATAACTTGGAAAGTGGGAATGTCTCCAGATTCATTAACAGCGGCTTCATTTTTGAAGATGACAACTTCAAAATGTATTCGCTTTGGCATATCTGTCGGTGTTGCTTAACCGATCCCTTCTAGCAACGTGGCTGAGTTTAATATGTACATACTTCATGCAACCGGGACAGTGAGCGACAATGAGGGTGATTAGTAGATGCCGGCGAGCACTCCATATGTCATTTGTTCTTGCTGCACGAGGTGAGTTCAGGGAGTGACCTTTAACCTTCATTACTGAAGCTCCCTGAACTCCTTTGGCCGTACCCCCATTAATCTCAGTTAGCCCCTTTTCTACTTCCACTACTACTGCAGCCCTCTTAATAGTTCTTCACTTTTTCTGCACTCTGTCTTCTAAACGAAACATCGACTTCTTCAAAAAGGCAGCTGATTTGTTTGTTTAAAGGCGGTAATTTGAAGATTTACGGTACAGAGATTTCTACTGAAATGATGACACTAACTGACTAGCCCAGACCGGTCCTGTTTTGTAAGGCCACTTGAACTTCAAGAGACGATAGGTTGTCACTGTAGCGCCTCAAACATGAAATGGCGGAACTTTGAGCTGCTTAGAGGACTTATCAATTTGGCAAGAAATATCTGTTGTGAGGCAAATCCAAAGAAGAGACAAACATTGCGGCAGCTTTATGATGGTGGAAACCAACAAACCTTCAGAATGCCGTCACATGTTTAACCTGGGTGTTGTTTGCTATAATCTTGCTAAAACTGAACTATGCAAGCTATAGTTTATTCAAAGTGTACAAATGCTTTCCCTGCTTTTTTAAGTTGGGTTTCTTTTGAAATCTTTAATAATTGATGACCATAAACTTGGATTGTATGGACTTAATAGATGAAGGCGAAATTGTAGTTCCTATTTAATTGGAGCATGTTGCTTCTTTAAGCATTTTTAAAAGGTCACTGAAGTCTTAACCTGAATCTGTTAACAAGATGTAACAAATTAAGAACTTAAAGGTGGGGTAGGTAATTTTGGAGAAACCAGCTCGAGTGCGCTAGAATTTGAAAATACACAGCCGGAAGAAATCTGCCACTTCCTTCAGACTTCCTCACAGAGCCCCTCCTCCAAAGCACACAAACGCGCACACGACCAATGAGGGCACGAGATAAGTTTGTGCACAGATGGAAGGCTGACAGGCAGGTAGGCCATCCAGTTACTTTAGCCGGGCCGGCTCAGATGATTGGTCGTGCTTTTTACAGCGCTACGGCTTCCACAGATGAATTTTTTTTATGTATTTATTGTCAAAGCATTTCATGTATTCATTGCTATCGGGATGTTTAGAGCATTCCATGGAATATAACAAAAAGTGTATCTGAAATAAATGACATACTCCACCTTGAAGCTAACCTTTCTTGTTTCTATTTCATCCTCTTTATGTTTCCACTGCGGTTTACACCTCCCTCTCTCTCACCTCCTTCATCACACCTTTTGGCCTTTTTTATTTGTTGATCCATTTGTGTGTGTGTGTGTGTGTGTGTGTCTGCGACTCTGCGTGCGTGTGCATGAGTCCATCACTCTGCCCCTCCTCCCTGTCCTGATTATTGTCTTGCCGGAGAAAGCTTCCCTTTTTAGTATTTGGTATCCATGGCAACGCATCCATCCACCAAGAGCTGTCTGTTGGTGCTGATCAGGAGCTCCTTCTCTTCCTCTCCTCATTCCTCTCACTCAGCCCCACCCCCCTCCTCCCCTTTCCCCTATGTTACCACGAACTCCACCACCCCCCCCCATTTTTGTTTCTTCTCCTCCTAAGCCAATATGTCTCAGCAATCGGCACCTCTTCAACATCTCCATACTTTCTCAGCATTGTTACCACTGACCTTAAGCTTTATGAATCGACCCTGCATGCACCCTATTCTGGTATAAGAGCAGTTTTGACAAAGCTGGGAAAACTCTTATTATACCAATACAGACTTTAGTCAGTGCACTGGCTTTTCCAAACCAGAGCAGAAGCTAGTTACGTGTTGTGTGGGCCTGTGGACAAAAGCTGCATCTCTAAATAAGCATTTCAATTGGCCCATGGCAGTAAAACCTGATGGAGAGTGCAGACTTCCAGTAAAACCTCTTTATCGAAAAGCGGAAGCACAAATGCTCATGTAAACACGGTCACGTTTATCAACATTTTAAATCCACTTCTAATGATTCGCTGGCCAAATGATCCATCCCACATCCACTGGTTTCTCTGAGTGTTCACAAGAGTGTGCACGTGTGTGTGAAGCAGAAATGGGCCACATGGGTGTATTATACATTCATTTCTCTCGCTCCCTTTTTCTATTTTTATCTTCACTATCTTCCCCCATCCCTGTCCGCGCAGGGGAATCAGGAATGTAAGCCATCGCAAGAAAGAAATGCTGTCGCAGCAGATATCATTTTGAGGGAAGACAAGGCAAATCTGGCACGAAATAACATCCTTGTGATAATGTAATCTCTCCCGTCCCCTCCTCCTCCTCTTCCAGTTTTGTCTCTAAATGATCTCCTCTGCTAATGCGTTTACCCTCTTCACACAATTAACCCTTTTAGCGCTGAACCGGCCGCTTAATGACAATTACAACCATTGTTTTGTCATTTTGCATTAATAGAGGTTAATTGTCAAGTTAATTGATGGATATCTGTATGTGTGTATATATTATTACCACCCACTGAGAGTATGCCTCTGTGTGTGTGTGTGTGTGTGTGTGTGTGTGTGTGTGTGTGTGTGTGTGTGTGTGTGTGTGTGTGTGTGTGTGTGTGTGTGTGTGTGTGTGTGTGTGTGTGTGTGTGTGTGTGTGTGTGTGTGTGTGTGTGTGTGTGGTGCTCACCTGCCCCGTAAACAACAGAGTAGACAATGCGTTTGGCGTGTTCCCGATCCTCAGAAGTCACCTCACCCTCACTCACCCCCTTCCTGAGTGACAGAGATAAACACATGGAGATATAGTGTATGATTCAATACTGCCAGGGTTTTGATATTGTTTAAGGGTAAACAAGATGGTGCAGAGATCTGTTCGATGTACTAACATCGGGTTCGAAACAGGCTCGGGACTATTTGCCGCATGTCATCCCCTCCGTCTCCCTGTTTCAACTCTGTCTATAAATTGATTATAACGATTTTCTGTCAAGATTATAACGATTTTTGGTCAGATTATAACGATTTTTGGTCCGATTATAACGATTTTTTGTAGACACTTTAGCTATGCTTTCTGGAATGAAATAGGAATAGGAACGATGGTGGAAATACAATCAATACAAGCAGACTGAGTAGGCATGTCTACACTAATTTCTTCGGATGTTAATCCACTCTGAAAGAAGGTTTAAGTACAAGGCAGAAAAGTGACTGAGAGGGAGGAGAAAAGTACAACAGAAAAATCGCTATAAGAACAAAAAGAAAGTGAAAAGAAAGCCTGTGAGATATGGAGGTTAAAAGGACATGAAGTAGAAGAAGACTAGAGGGACTTTAGAAAAGAACAGACAGACAGACAGTTATGTAATGTGACTTGTAGACTGCCGTCGTGCTGGGGTCAGACAGGGTGGGAGGACACTTCTGCACAGAGGCCTTTCTGGAGGGGAGCTGCCGCTGCCGATCAGTGTTCAGAGACATGAACTCTGAACAATTACAACTGCTGAGCTACGACACTCCAGCGATTCACAATGTATTGACATGTAGCCTCAGGATGAGACCTCCTAAACGTGAGGAAATTACGCTTTCAATTCCTCTGTCTGTTAAATGACAGGTTACGGTAAAACACAGGTGGTTACCTGTGTTTTACCGTGACCCCCAGTGGAGGACTCACAGGAAGGTATTTCCCTCCAAGGTGCTGCATCTGGTTGATGGGTATCAGTACTGGATTTCTACTGCCCCCTGCTGGAGAGGCATTACTGTAGAACAGTGCTTCTCAACGTGTGGTCCGCGGACCACTGGTGGTTCGTGAGCGCCCCCTAGTGGTCCGTGAGTATATTGGTAACATTTCACATTTGAAATTAATTAATTAATTTAAGTTTTCCGCACTCTCCCGGGAATATCTCCGCAAAGGAGCGAGCTTAAGTTTCACTTTCGATTGCATGATATAGCCCAGATAAACACCTTCATCACACATGTTGCCACTTGTTTGTACCATTTTCAGGCGATTTGCAAAAAACTATGTGTTTTTGGATATTTGTCGAGTTAGGTGGTCCGCGAGTGTTTTTTTATTGGTTAAGTGTCCTTGGTATGAAAAAGTTTGAGAAACACTGCTGTCGAATGATGTATTCTTAAACTGCCCACAGTTTTATTACATGCAGAAGTTTTAAATCACATGCCATAAAAGCTTGAATCAGTCGGACTAGTCTATGGTCTTTCAAGCTAAAAGATTTTAATTAGTCCTCTTTAAAAATATATGATATTTTACATGAAAGGTTTGCAAAAAAAATTCTGCACGTTTGGCTCTGAGCAACAGTTACATAAGACTACAAATAAAATAAACTGTAAGTATATGATTAAATAGTACAAAGATTTAACTGTACAATAATGTTTTAAGGTTGAAATAACAGGCAACATGTTGCTTGAGTGAACATATTCTTAACACTTCAAAATACAAATAGGTGAGCAACTATCGGCATCAATGGAATTGGATAATGGGTTGGTTTTAGATTTTGCCACAGATATCAGTTTACCACAACTTGAAGGGGAATAAAGCCAAGTTGTTATAAAGACCCATCTAAAAAAAGAATCAAGAAAACAGTTTGTAATAGGCAGAATGTCTCTGGTTACTCTGATCATAAATACAATCTGTTGACATTGTTTAACCTGTGATCATTACTAAAGGGTTTCCAATCAGAGTAACAGACGAGCCAATGCCATCACTCATGGCAGGGCAATCGGACAAGGTAAGGCGAGGATAAATGGAGTTTAGGAGGGAAAAAAAGAGTGAAATACAGTGATGGGAGAAAAGGGAAGGGAAGAGGGCAAGAAAAAAAAACTATAAGCACAAATGGAAGACTAGAGGAAGAGGAAGTCATCCTAACAGAGCAGTTTATTTGTTTAAAGGTGAAAGAGATTTAATGAGAGAGACACAATGTGAAGCCTCCGAAGAGCTGTTAATATGCACCCTATGTCCAGGTAATCTGTTTAACCGGACGCCCTCTGACACACACTGGACGGAGATGGATGACAGAAGTAAAGGTGACACACACACAGGAAAAATAAGACAAGAAAAAAAAATTCAAAAGTGTGACAATGTTGTGGACTGACCCTAGGGTGTCTTGGCCATGTAAAAGGGAGAGTGGATGATGCAATTGGCATGGTAGTCATGGCAACAAGGTTATTAGCGTTTGAAGGGGAGGAGTCGGGAGAACGAGAGTGTGTGTGTGTGTGTGTGTGTGTGTGTGTGTGTGTGAGTGTCCTACCACTGAGCGGCCAGCATGGTGAAGACGTCGGCCTGCGGGTCGGTGAAAATGCGGAGCAGCTCGGGGTCGGAGGACAGGTGAGCCAGGAGGCGTAGCTCCACCTGGCAGAAGTCTGACACACAGAAAACACACACCTTTTTAATGACACACTACCTGAATGTCACACCCTAAATAAGATAGACAGACATTAGTTTTCTCATCTTGACATTTAGCTATCTGCAAGAAACACTGCATCTTCTATACCTAGTTTCCTGTGATCTCCTGTGAATGCCTCACTGTGATCAGACGATACGTTCTGACTTTTTATTACTCTGCTTTTACATTTGCCATCATTTGAATGTAATATAAAAGTTAATATGCTGCATCCGTCTCGCAGTAAGCCCGTGCTGCTATTACACTAAGGCATGTAAAGCTGGGGTATTACTGAAGTCACGTTCCTTGAAAGCACACAACGGCTGGTGTTTAACTTTGATGTGACTCTCAGAGACCTGAGGATTGTGTGAATGTTAAGGTAGCACCTATAGTGGCTAAGCCTGGAGGAATACTTCTCTAAAAAGTGACTCGCTGCACCTTTACCAGCTTTGAGAACACTTTCATGATCAATCATTATAAAACATATCATATATATTATTCTGAAATGGACCAATCTGCACAATGACTACTTTTACTGTCGCTACTTTCACTATATTTTGATGAGAATACTTTTCTACTTTCACTTGAGTCACATTTTGAATGCAGGACTTTTACTGTAACAGAGTATTCCTACACTCTGGTACTTCTACTTTTACTCAAGAACAAGATCTGAGTACTTCTACTTTGACTCAAGAACAAGATCTGAGTACTTCTACTTTTACTCAAGTACAAGACCTGAGAACTTCCACTTTTACCCAAGTACAAGATCTGAGTACTTCTACTTTTACTCAAGTACAAGATCTGAGTACTTCTACTTTTACTCAAGTACAAGATCTGAGTACTTCTACTTTTACTCAAGTACAAGACCTGAGTACTTCTACTTTTACCCAAGTACAATATCTAAGTACTTCTACTTTTACTCAAGTACAAGATCTACAAAATCCTGCTATTACACTAAGGCATGTAAAGCTGGGGTATTACTGAAGTCACGTTCCTTGAAAGCACACAACTGCTGGTCTTTAACTTTGATGTGACTCTTCACAGAGACCTGAGGATTGTGTGAATGTTAAGGTAGCACCTATAGTGGCTAAGCCTGGAGGAATACTTCTCTAAAAAGACGTTTCTTTTCCCTTTTTACAAGAATTCCTACTCAGCCACACAACCAGGTCATTTTTAACATTTTATAATAGGGGGATACTATTGCACTGCTTTCCAGATTGTAGTTATTGTTTGATTATTGTTACCATTAATGCAGAGTTAGCAATAACAGGAATAGGATGCATTTGTTTTGTTGACGTTTGTTCGTAAGTGCAACTTTTTCGCATTTATGGGTCCCATAGTGTATCTTAGTCAGTTATTGGAGGGTTTCTTATAATTCTATATCTGGAATTTAAATGTTTATTATTATGCAGAATAGCTTTTATTCTTGCTTTTTGTCAAACCAAAATGGATGCATCTTTTATGGAAGAGATAAAACCATCCATTTAGACTTGGGAAAGGAACTGCATAACTGACACAATTTCAGCACCGTAAAGTCGGACAGACAGAAAAACAGTGCGTCTAAAGCGGCCTCTGAGACTGTACCGAAACTTGCCCGAGGCACTTACATAAGTCGAGAGATAACCAGAGGCTATAAAAGACTAACACTGACGGACAGGGAAGGAAAAAGAAATCTTCAAAATAAGCAAAAACAAACTGTCTGACCTAACTGCACATTACACACACACACACACACACACACACACACACACAGCTGAAAACACAGATAGGGACAGACAGAGAAGATGCACTCTTTCCAGATCTAAACTGAAACATCCCTCAATATGTAATCACACACACACTTATATTCACAGCACCAGCAGCACATTCCATTACGGCCGTTTCACCCATCGCCTCTTCTGCTCGGCTGCTTCAAAATCAAATTAAATCGGGCCGAACACGATGAAAAAACGACTCCATATGGACCATGGGAGGAGAGAGGTTTTTCTCCCAGTGAGGATGAAGCAACCGGCTGTAATAGGTGTCCAGTAAAGTGGGACGAGAGAGAGAGTGATGAAGGATTGGAGCATGGGATTGTAAGCATTACTATAACTATAGTTACGTTCCTAATCAATGAGATGAATCTGGAGATGTAGAACAGATTTCAGGGTCTTATCATTCAGCAAAAGAGGGAAGGAAAGTCATCGGCTTTCAGTGTAATGCAGGTTCAAATGAACATTATCTAGCGTTTAACCCAGGTCAGCCATAGAGTGCAGGGAAAAGAGATTTGGTTGTGATGAGGTGAGGAAGGGTGTTTCTAAAGATATCCTCCCATCAATGTTTTATGAGTCAGATCACATTTCCTCCAAGCATGGCCGGCGGCTGAAGAAACACACTGCTGACCAGGAAGTGTGTGAGAGAGAGAAAGATGGTTTTATGTGTGATAGAAATAGAAGACAGGAAGAAAGATAATGTGTGTGTAATAAGAGAGTAGTGATATTAGATTACACATCTGAAATTGTGTATGCTGTGAGTGTGTTCTCCAAGGCCACCTTCGAGCAGTCTCCTTTTATTGATCCATACAGGAATAGCTTCAACCTGCAGTCACTTCCGCTGCATTGACCCCTCAGGAGACACACTACAGATACATAATGTCAGTTATGAGAGTATGGGCTATTTTTACATCCACGTTTTCTTTCAGGATGGATGGGAGGAATTCTGTAGCACCTGTTTTACTTTGTTAGTTAATTTGTATTTGCTCTTACTCTGAGCCATAAATGTTGACATGTACCATAGCCCGACTTATATAACATGTTGTTTCTAAAAACATGGCAGAAGGGCTTTATTTTGTAATGGCTGTATTAGAGATTCAAAGAGATATACAAAATTAACAAGCATTTTCAACATGGCTTTATCCAATGTTCACATTTCTGTTCTAGAAATTCGAGCCAATTAGCACATATTTAATAAGATGATACTTCAATTGAACTGTTAAACAAAACATTTTGGTCAATTTGTAATAGCAAAATATATTGCCTTCATGGAAGTAATCCTTCGGGGAAGTTTCATCTACTAATTATTTTGTTCTCACTAATTACCTGCAGTGTCTCCCCTTAAACTGGAGCAGCCTTGTAAGCATTTCTGCCTTTAAACTAAAAGGATACAGATACGAATATATACATTTAGGCTCAGTCAGAATAATTACTATATTAACTATTAATTATCTTATTGCCCGCTTTTGCTGTCTATAATAAAAATGTTAATAATTATAATTTGAACATCTGTAGCTCTTGCAACAAAATACCCAATATTAAATGAATCCCTTTGGGCTCTTGCAACTTTTGATAGACATTTGTAATTACTTTTATAAACAAAATGAGCAATAAATTATAGAAGCATCTATTTATCTGTAATGAAACACTCATTAGTTGCAGCCCTAACGAAGCCCAGAGCAGGGCCATGTATTACTGGAGAGTAGAGGTATTAAAAACAATAAACAAGCTGCTACTATCTCCCGCAATCCGACAGCATACTAACACAGAGGGGACTAAGCCGTGCCTCATCCATTTTGAATGCCAACACCCACAGCACCCTGAGCAGCACTCAGTGACGCTCTGCAGAACAGCATCGAGTATGAAAAATATGCATGGAAGCTTAAGAGCTCAAACCTGCACACTGGGAATATCTAATGTTCCCTGTGGGTTGTGGTTGGTCTAGAGAGGCTTTCAGGGAGGAAGATTGACCAGCATTCAGCGGAGCGATCTAGGATTTAGCTTGAACTGTATTTTGGGACTTAGAGTTTAACAGGAGAATTGTATACCTTATACTTTAAAGATGAAACCCAGGAGGACAAGAGGTGGTTTTATGCTAGAAAAAAGCAGTTTGTCCCAATCTCAGGAGAGGTCATTTCTTTAAAGCTACCGTTAGAATGTGTTTTCATTGTAATATGTTGGAAATATAGCTTACTATGTGGGATAGACTCAATAAACCTCCTACTATGAATAGATTTGTAACTATGCTAGTATAAAAATAAATGTATATTTGTTAGCTAATCGTTTAAACCTACAATGACCATTTTTAAAACTACAAATTGAGCAAGCAACATGACATTGTTTGGCATTTAATGTCATACACTGCTAATATAAAGTATTATTTATAGCTGCTTTTAGTAATAAGTGTAAATTATATTATTGTAAAAATACCTTAGGGTAGTCAAGTTTTCTTCTTGACTGTTTGAATTGTAGTTGATTATATTAGTGATAACATACTGATAATCCTACATACACTTCTGCAGGTGCAGTGTTGTGACGATCAGGAGACATGTTGCTTTCTTTGTGAAACTTCTTTCTACATTTTGCATTGGCTGATTCATGCAGGTACAGAATAACCTCTCCAAACTGACTGCCGTTATGACAACAAAGGGCATTATGTAACTGCTGCAAACATCATTGTTGGGTTACCTTCACATTTAGATAACGGGAGAATTCTGTTAGCATGTGTGTCTTTAAAATGCTAGGTGACATTTGCTAAGTGGCACTTCTACAGTATAAACATATATATATAATTTGCTATTTTGGATGCTGCTCAGAACCACTGTATGTGTTTTCTCAAATGTATTCTTTTTTAATATGGACTAGGGATGGGAAACATAAAGTAACTGATTGACTGAAGTAACAGGCTGGATGAGGGAATTAGGACTGTCTTTGTTCTCATTTTGGCCAGCCTCTCGTTTCCTTCTCTCAGCTCAAGTCCCCACACACTAGCAGAATTCTCCCTAAAGGAAATAACTGAGTTGCAAATGCTTATTTAAACAAACAAACACAAATGAGGCACAGGCAGGTTGTGGGAGGAGAGGAAGGCTGTTCAATGTGCTGTAAGAATGGTTAGTTTTTATCTTTAGTGAAACAGATAGTCACACATGTTTCACTAAGTCATTATTTGGATTCTTCTGAGGGTGGGATCGCATCCATGGAAAGTTTTAATCTAGAATGTTTAAAACTTTGCACAAAATAAAAGTCGTACTTTTTAATAGATGTAGTGAATATGTTTTATATTTTTGTACGATATTGACAATATGTATAGCTGTTACTTAGTAAGTAAGTAAAGTTTATTTATAAAGCGCTTTTCACAGACAAAGTCACAAAGTGCTTGACAAAACAATAAAAACATCATCATAGGAATCGTACACTGATAAATGACCACACAAGCCACGTGTTAAGAAGTCATAAAGCACCAAAACACAATACAATCAAAATAAAAACATAGTATAAAATAGAATAAAATCAAGCACACCGGTTACCCAAACGCCTGCTCTAACAGGAATGTCTTTAAATTAGTTTTAAAGGAGTCAACAGAGTCAGCGGACCGTAGGTGAGCGGGCAGAGCACCATAGCTTAGGAGCCATGGCCTCGAACACCGCGGGTCTTAAGGTGAGTACGTGGGACAGACAGTAAATTGTGCATGTGTGACCTGAGTGGGCGGGCTGATGTATATGGATGAATTAGGTCAGCCACAGGAGTCTGACCGTGCAATGCTCTGTAGGTGAGAGTGAGGATTTTGAACTGGATCCTATAAGCTACAGGGAGCCAGTGAAGAGATCTGAGTATTGGGGTAATGTGGGACCGTTTGTTTGACCGGGTGAGAAGTCTAGCAGCTGCATTCTGGACTGCCTGCAGACGACCAAGAGCAGACATGCTGAGAGAGGAGAACAGTGCGTTGCAATAGTCAATGCGAGATGAAATAAACACAGGTATAATCATTTCTAGGTCGGCTGTTGCAACTACAGATCTCAGTTTACTAATGTTTGCTTAGCCTGAAATGCTAATTGTACATTCAATTATCTACTTCTTTACATTGTAAAACATTTATTTTATAAATTATTTGTTCACTTTGAACTCTTTAAAGTTTGCATACAGCCAATGTATTTGACAAATCTTTATTTATTTTTTTAGAAAATTAATCAATTATATCTGCATTTGACATGTTGACAGTTTCAGCCAATAACCCAATGTGCAATTTATTCTTGTTATTTCCAATTAATACCTGTTCATTCCCATGGGACACTTTAACCTTGAATATTTACATAATTGTGCAACCCTAGACACACACACACACACACACACACACTTTTGACATGCCTTTGAGTTTAACTCTTTCTAGGGACACTGAAAAGTAATAGTTGAAAGACACAAACACACACACATAGCAGTTTGGGAAGGACATCGAAGGACACAGAGGGGGTGACTGTGCGAAGACTCCCTAGGCAGGGTTGTTTCCATGGCAACCTGCCCTAAGAGCATGTGTGTGCGTGTGTGCTCTCCTGCTGGTTATTGTGTGTGTTGGTGCCTCCATACAATGTTTTGTGTATATGTGGGATCCTCGCTCTGATCCTGGTGCTGTCCTCCTGCTAACCCTGGTTTATCTGTGGGGTTATGTACACCCAGTGTTTCCCACAAAGCTCTTCCAGGCTGACAGTGTCCCAGCAGCTCTCCCCTCAGTTTGCACAGCATGAACTCGCTTTACACCCCGAAGTGACCTTGTGAGCGACTCAGCGTAAGTGGAGTTACAAACTTATAAGGCCAAACGGAGCAGAAGGAAATTGATGCGGATTTTGGGACAAAAACTGAGAATTCTGAGAGGCTTCTTAAATTAGTCTTATGTCAGACTCTCGTGTTGCTGTTACACGGGTGCTCACACACTTTTCCCACAAGGCTACAATGCTTTCTTATGTTTATTTGGTGGCTGGGTGAACGGTTATATGTGTGTGCAAAGGAATGCCTGACATGATCAATCCATAAATAAAATATAGGTATGAAAAAATGTAAGACTATGAGTGTGACCTTTACTTGTTATTGAATGCCAAGTATCACAGACATCACTTCATTTACAAAGAAATGGTTTCAAATATGCATGACTGACAGTAGGAGGTAAAACAATATATAAGAAAATGTACAGTTAACATAAAAACTAAAAATACTTCTTTCCCCAAAGCAGTCTATGTATTTCTGCTAACGGACATACAGTGATGTTCTGAGTGTCATTATCACAAGGGGTTACAGAAGCAAATCTCAGTGATGTATGAAAGATCTAAAACATTATGATTTTACATTACGTATTGTCCTACCTGCAGCAAGAAAGGTCCATCCTTCTTGAGGAATGAACATTGCCCGAGGATGAACAGTCACAATCTCCTCCTCCTTTCCTGTGGGGACCAAACACAGACCCCTGAGGAACTCCTCAGCACATCATCCCTCACTGCAAAGAGCAAGCTACTTAACATGTATAAACTGTTGCCTCTGTATGTTTCGTTTCTGGTCTATTTGATTACTTTAAAACTATATAGTGATTCTTACTGTGATAATATCATTAAAATGAACACAAAAAACTGATTGGTATTACACATATTTAGTTATTAATAGCAACAACACAAAATAATCTACACACAATTCGCTTATCACAAATAGGTAATGGGGAATTAAGACTTTGTAATTGCTCTATCACTTTTCAAGACTAATCACTTTTCAAAGTCATTCATCCCTTCTGCACTCAAACTTTTAAATTCTTGAAAGGCTTTTAACTTGATTATTTATTTATTTATTATTGGGATGCTATGAACTACTTATCGTGTAAATTGGAATGATCCACATCTGTGCTCCCGGGTGCATCTGTGTGTTTTCTTCCTGTATGTTCCTGCCTGTGTCCATGACATAAGCTGCTGCTCATAACCAATTGCCCCTTGCGGGATTAATAAAGTTGTTGATTGATTGATTGATTGAATTCTGCTATGAGAAAGGCTGGTTAGAGCCCTGACAGTATTTAAATTAAATCGACCTCTCATAAATACGCAGAGCATCTCATCATGTGGCATATGGACATCTTTCACAGCACATTTATAGATTAATGTATAAACCAGATATACAACATAAACAGTCATTTACTTATAATCTTCTGTCTGTGTCTTTGTGTTTGACATAGAGCCACAGAAACACAGGCAGTGTGTGGCTAGGGACTTAGCAGAGCAATAACGGGAGCTAACACCGACATCTGACTTAATGAGGAGATAAGTTATGAAACCACAACGCTCCATTTAGAGGCAAATCAGAATCCAATCAGGATCAGTCCACCAATAGACTCTCTGCTACGAAGAGATGGACTGTAGTGCTGACTATAGTGCAGGAGAAATTATGGGTAAGAATGAAGCAGCGCATCCCAGCATGAGGAAAATACAACTACAGCATGAGGTCCATACACACAAGCGCATACATGCTGATGCTGAAAATGGGACTTCACACACACATGAGCTCATTGTAATTCGAATGGAATTAGGGCCTCACCTGTCTCCTCAAGACACAAAGTGATAAGGGTATTGGTTGAGGGAAAGAAGGGATGATATAAGCAGGGGTGCACACAACCTTTTTGCCCTGGTTCTCAAAGGAGCACCTGGAGATGTTGCTTGGTCTTTGCTTGGTCTTTAAAATGAAATAAACCGGACCTTTTGAGGGGTACTTGACTTTATAAACGGGGGGGGGGGGGGGGGGGGGGGGGGGGAGTTGCGCTAGTGAGCACGCTCATGGACTGTTCACCGGAGCCTCGCAGCAGGGTTACTGTGCGGAGTGCATAAAGCAGACCCTTCACACGATAGCGAGGGGGTAGAGCGAGGGATCGACAGATGCCGTCTTGCTCGCGGACGGATTAAAAAAAATCAAACCTAAACGGCTTACGAATTATACTTTGGCGGCCGTTAATATACCTGGGTGGCCCGCCCAGGTAAAGTCTATGTGTGGGAAACCCTGCTATCTTACCCGTTCATATGCAACTCGCAAATATCTCTCTCTCTCTCAATGTTGGTGCGCAAATGCGCCTTTTTTCAAATGATCCGGTGCTCCTTTTTTCGCGGCGGGTGCGCATGCGCATCTGCGCACCAGTTATGTGCAGCCCTGGATATAAGGGTTATAGCAGGGACAGAGAGTAGATGATTTGATGACAAGAAGCTTTGTGAATCTGAGTATGTGAGGAGCAGAGGTGCTGATGTTAGCACCTCTGAATCACTCAGAGAGAAGAAGGAGCAAGGGACATAAATAGAGCATCAGTGGCAGTGACTGACAGCAGAATAACTGCTCACGACAACAGTATCGAAAGACGTTTTTAATGTTTAAGCATCTTTAAATATAGAAAATGTGTTTGTGTCCTGTGTTTGGGACACACCAGGAATCCAGCTACAAGTAATGGTGGAGGCCTGCATGAAAAAGGTATTTTCAAAGCTATGTACAAAAAGAGAATCTTGTACCAAATATACATTTCCTCAACCGTATTTTTATTCAGATCTATTCATAGTGTATTTCTTGCCATTTCCAAAGGATAGCTATCAAAAAGATGCACAACATACCTATAAACGCAATGGGAGTGTTAAAGGGGGGAACATAGGAATGCTTCATGTCTCTGTGAGCTATCTGGACACAAAAGATAATACAAGAAAAAATGAATAGATGAATATAAAATGAAGGATGTTCCGTGACTTAAATATCAAGTTAGATATAGTACACCCATCTTTACGTTTATAACATTTGATGATGAAACGTAGATTGTTCCTGACAATGTGGTCAAGGCTGCCAAATTATGTCATAAATTAAAATGTCATTATTATATAATCGATGTTGAGCTATCAAGCAACCTAAAAAAAACGAAGCGTCAGGCTGTTTTCTCAAAGTGTCTGTGTGGCATTTGTATTAAATGATGACTGTGTAAAAAGGGCATGGGGTGGTAATTAAAAGTTCATTCCAACGGAGTTTACTTCTCAATACTAAACCAAAATTAAATTATACCTCCTTTGAAAGTCTCGTTTTTAGTCTTACGCATCCGACCTGGAAAACTTTGCAGCCAATCTTATTTGTTACAGTGTACCGTGCACCATGTCCTTATTCAGAATTCTTATCTGAATTCTCTGAGTTTTTATCAACTTTGGTACTTAAAACAGATAAAGTAATTATCGTAGGTGACTTTAATATTCATGTTGACGATGATAAAAATAGCCTTACTGTTGCATTTAACTCTATATTAGATTCTGTTGGTTTTTGTCAGAGTGTAAATAAACCAACCCACTGCTATAATCACACTCTCGACCTTGTTCTGACTTATGGTATTGAAATTGAGCAACTATTAGTCGAACCGCATAATCCTGCTTTATCCGACCATTTCTTAGTAACTTTTGAAGTACTGTTACGAGACTACAAAGCATTAGTCAAAAGCTCCTGCAGCAGAAACCTATCTGTTAGTGCTATAGCCAAATTTAAGGAAGAGATTCCACCAATACTTAACTCGATAGCATGTCTGCATGTAGGGGAGGAAACTTATACAAAATGTACACCACCCCAAATTGATCACGTTGTTGATAGTGCTACAGATGCGCTGCGAATAAAATTAGACTCTGTTGCTCCTTTGAAAAAGAAGAAAATAAAACAACATAGATTAGCTCCATGGCATAATGCCGAAACCCGCAAAATAAAGCAAAAGTCGAGACAACTTGAAAGGATATGGCGTTCTACTAAACTTGAAGAATCTCGTTTAATTTGGCATATTACTCTCAATGAATATAAGAAAGCACTGCGTAAAGCGAGAGCAGCCTACTACTCTTCATTAATAGATGAGAATAAGAATAATGCAAGATTTCTTTTCAGCACTGTAGCCAGGCTGACAGAAAGCCACAGCTCGATTGAGCCTTCTATTCCCATAGCACTCAGTAGTAATGATTTTATGTGCTTTTTTAAACGATAAAATTGTTACTCTTAGAAACAAAATTAATGACCTCTTGCCTTTGACCAGTATAGTGTTATCAACAGCTCCCGGAAACGTAAGTTCTAATATTACACTAGATAGTAAACTAGAATGCTTTTCAGCCATAAACCTTGAACAATTAAATTCAATGATTCTCTCTTCTAAACCATCAACGTGTATGTTAGACCCAATTCCAACTAAGCTGTTGAAGGAAGTTTTTCCATTAATTAGCATTTATTTATTAAATATTATGAATATGTCTTTATTATCAGGCTATGTTCCACAATCATTCAAAGTAGCAGTGATAAAACCGCTTCTTAAAAAGCACAACCTCGATCCAGAGGTTTTAGCCAATTATAGACCTATTTCTAATCTTCCGTTCCTCTCAAACATTCTTGAGAAAGCAGTCGCAAAACAGCTGTGTGATTACTTAAAAAACAATGATTTATTTGAAGATTTTCAGTCTGGCTTTAGAACACATCATAGCACAGAGACAGCTCTGGTTAAAGTCACAAATGACATTCTAATAGCCTCTGACAAGGGACTTGTCTCTATTCTTGTTTTGCTCGATCTCAGTGCTGCATTTGATACTATCGATAATGATATCTTATTGCAAAGACTAGAGCACTTAGTTGGCATACAGGGAACAGCTTTAGGCTGGTTTAGGTCCTATCTATCTGAACGCTCTCAGTTTGTACGTGTCAATGATGAATCTTCCACGCAAACCAAAGTTAGCCATGGAGTGCCACAGGGCTCAGTGCTCGGACCTATTTTGTTCACATTATATATGCTTCCGTTAGGCAATATTATAAGGAATCATTCTTTAAACTTTCATTGTTATGCGGATGATACTCAACTATATTTATCAATCAAGCCTGATGAAAATAATCATCTAAATAAAATTCAAGACTGCCTCAAGGACTTAAAAACGTGGATGACCTTAAACTTTTTGATGTTAAACACGACCAAAACTGAAGTTATTGTACTTGGCCCAAAGAATCTATGAAACAAATTATCTAAAGATATACTAACTATGGATGGCATTAATTTGGCCTCCAGTGAGACTGTAAGGAATCTTGGTGTTATATTTGATCAGGATTTATCCTTTAACGCCCACATAAAATCAATTTCAAGGACCGCCTACTTCCATCTACGTAACATTGCAAAAATCAGGCATATTGTGCCTCAAAACGATGCAGAGAAACTAGTCCATGCATTTGTTACTTCAAGGCTGGATTATTGTAACTCCTTATTATCAGGGTGTACCAAGAAGTCAGTCAAGTCGCTTCAGCTGATTCAAAATGCTGCAGCTCGTGTACTAACCAGAGTTAGGAAAAGGGACCACATTACTCCTGTTCTGGCTGCCTTACACTGGCTCCCTATAGAACACAGGATATAATTTAAAATTCTTCTTCTCGCCTACAAAGCCCTTAATGGGCAGGCGCCATCTTACCTTAAAGAACTCATTATACCCTACTGTCCTACTAGGGCATTGCGTTCCAAGAATGCAGGGTTGTTGGTTGTTCCTATAGAGTCTCTAAAAGTACAATGGGAGCCAGAGCCTTTTCTTATCAAGCTCCACATTTGTGGAATCAGCTTCCAGTTTGTGTTCGGGCGGCAGACACCCTATCCGTTTTTAAGAGTGCGCTTAAGACCTTCCTTTTTGATAAAGCTTATAGTTAGGGCTGATTAGATTCAGCCCCTAGTTTTGCTGATATAGGCTTAGTTTGTCGGGGGACATCTTACTTCTTCCTTCTCTCTGTCTATACCTGTGTACTCTCATGTTCCGATTAACCCAGCTTCCCCAAATGTCTTTCTTTTTGGTGTCTATATACGCCGGGATCCGGAGGCATGGATGATCCTGCGCTCCTCTGTCCTGGATCGCGAGCCCTGGATCTTGAGTCGTGGCTGTGGTCATGGATCATAGGTCCTGGATGGATATCCTCGTGGATTCATCTTCCTATTATACACACATGCATTTCTAAACATTTGGACTACCTATGTTACAAATGTATTATCTTTTCAATTTACACACGGCATCTATTGCACGTCTGTCCGTCCTGGGAGAGGGATCCCTCCTCTGTTGCTCTCCCTGAGGTTTCTCCCATTTTTCCCTTTAAACTGTGGGTTTTCTTCGGAAGTTTTTCCTTGTACGATGTGAGGGTCTAAGGACAGAGGGTGTCGTATTGTCATACTGATATTTTGTACAAACTGTAAAGTCCACTGAGACAAATGTAACATTTGTGATATTGGGCTATATAAATAAACATTGATTGATTGATTGATTGATAACAAGACGGGTGGAAACAATTAAATCTAAGATTGCTTAATTGATGCTTGTGTCCATATGGATAATGTTTCCCCAAAAACCTTCTGCTCATGAAAGTAAACTGAGATATTACACCGCAGATAAAAGATGGGCTTTGTATGAGATGTTGCGTACGATCAATTAAGAACAGCTGTTCATTTTCTCAGATGCTTCAACCGGCTCGGTTATAATTCTCGCAATGAATCTTGGGACTTTGTAATTTACCATCTTGCATAATTTTCTTTCCTCATCAAACTGGCATACGATTATACCGAGGCAGGGATTTACGGTTGCATTTAAAAAATTAACCTAGCTCGAGTGCCACTTTCACAGCTTTGCGTAATCAAATAATACGGCTAAATTGGCCAAATGTAAAATATGTTATTACGTAAATTACTGTGTGAATTTCAATATAATCCTAAAATGAAACGGATGCAACGTACAGTATATCAAGTATATATTATAAGTCCAAGATAACACAGACACTTTTAGTGACTGGCCCTTTGCTGCCGCTGACTTTCATCCTCCTCATGAAGCCTCTTTACTAGCTCTCCCACACACGCACGCACCTTGACATTTATCGCTGCCTTATTTTCTAGAAAGTGTGGGAGGTGTGTGTGTTAATGAGATCGGTGCACCTTACCTTCGATGTACTGCTTCTTGGTGAACTGAAGCGGCTGCTTTGGCAGGGCCTGGAAGTTCTAGTTTGGGAGAAAAAAGACAATTGTAAGTCACATTGTGTAGTTATAAACAGTTCAATTGTAGTGCGTCATCATCATGATTCACATTGTAGTACGATGTGCACCGTTTTAATTATAATTTAATATAAATATTTGTATTCTACTTTTTTCATATTGAAAACATTCCACAATTTATATATTGCATCTTTTCCTTCATTGTGTTTTAAAAATTTGTTTTATTATCTTACAATCTCATTCTATGTGTCTAATCTAATGGAAACAATATTACTTCTATACTGTAGTTGAGGATGAGGCCACAGATTGTATACATTTTAACAAATAATAATATTTCCTATTGTTCAAAATGGACTTTGTGCTAGACAAGGCACTTTTAACTTTGGTCCGTTTGCAGCTAGTTTTTACTGTTGTTCCAATGAAATATGTATTACTTTTGCACACTTATATTACCTAAACAGTATATTGCTGCCTGGTTAATGCTGCTTTTCCACTTAGACGTGCTTCTTCAATCAAACAACAACAAAACAATGCAGTAAATGTGTGTTTAAATGAGCTGTAAAGGTTGAAACATGTTCCACGATTCATCTAGAACGTTGAACCTCTGGAGAATCCCCCCAATGTGCACCCAGCAGGAACCCTGTGGAGCATGTGTTGCCACTGGCTGCTTTTGTTGGCTCACATTAAGAAAAACAGAAAGCCATGCTGGGCCTGAAGCCAACACTACAGATCTTTCAAGTTTTCAGAGACATGTCTTAAAATAGTTACAGCCTAACGCTTGCTGGGCTCGCGGCCCACCCTGCATCGACCCACTGAGTAATCGAAGACGATATAGACACATAGAAAAGTACACGTGTGCAGTTTTTTTCAGCCTGAAGGAGGATAAACAGGAAAGGTTATAAAGCATGTCAGTGTGTAATGGAGGCAAGAAAAAAAGAAAGATGGTTGAGACTCAGCAGTTTCATTTTAATCCCTGTATATCCACCCTTCAGAAAACACACACACACACACACACACACACACACACACACACACACACACACACACACACACACACACACACACACACACACACACACACACCACACACACACACACACACACACACACACACACACACACACACACACACACACACACACACACACACACACACACACACACACACACACACACACACACACACACGAGGTGTGTGGTTGTATAAGGAGCATGTTAAAGGTTAGCATCAAGGACATTAAGGACACATAAATCAGTGCACAACATGGGAAAGGGGACAGGCAAAGATAAACACACACAACGATGGAAATAAGTGTTTCCCACCATGGTCAGAATTCAAATGATGTGGTTGGTTTGACCCTATGGTGTGTGTGTGTGTGTGTGTGTGTGTGTGTGTGTGTGTGTGTGTGTGTGTGTGTGTGTGTGCCCCAGAGAGACAACAGTTCTCTGCTTTCACCACTCATTCATTATTCACTAGAGGGAGAGGGGGAGAGAGAGAGAGGGAGGAGAGAGAGAGGGAGAGAGAGAGAGAGAGAGGGAG